TGATTCACATCTTAATATCCTTTTTAATAAATGAGTAATCTAATAAGTAAATGTTTCTCTGAGTTCTGTGAGCTGCTCTAGCAAATTAAACCCACGAGGGGGGTTATTGAGACCTCCGATCTACCCAGTAGGTTAGAAGCTCACATGAAAACCTGGACTTGTGACTGGTCTCTGAAGAGGGAGGAGGCAGTCATGTGGGACTGCGCCCTTCACCTGTGGAATCTGATGCTGTCTCCAGGTAGATAGTGTCAGAACTAAGTTAAGTTGTAGGACACCCAGCTGGTATTGTAGAATTCCTTGGTGGTATGGGGACCACTCCACCACACACACACACACACACACACACACACACACACACACACACACACACACACACACACACACACAGAGTGAAATAGCGAAATTGGTAAGCAGAATTGGTAGAGACAAAACAAATCTGGTAATATCACTAATAGAATAGATCATAGAAGAAAAATCAAAATTATCTTTACAAGTTGGAAACTGGACCAAGATATACAGGCACAGGCACAAAGCCCTATATGTGAGATTAACATTTCAGTTGGACCACAGGAGCCTCTTATTTTGAGAGCAATGAGTCTTGTTCCTGTCCTCATCATGCAAGCAGAACTCTTAAGGAAATTCCAATGACTCTTTGGTGATAAAAGGTACTTTCTGCTGGTCAGTCCTCATCTTTGTTGCTTCTTCCATAGCATTTGACGCTATGTGACACTGTTAACTTTATGCCCTTCATGGAACCTTTTCTAATTCTATAATCTCGCTTTGGCCTTGTTCCCCTGATTTTCTAATTCTTCTTTTTTAGTCTTTTTTTTTCTTTACCCTCTCTTTAAAGGTTTTCCTTTACCTTTGTATTTAAAAGTCAATGTTCCTTAAATTCTAATCTTAGTGTATTTGTAGTTTGTATCTCTCTCTGGTCATTTGTTAACCATTCGTTTAAAATATATTTGTTGAGGACCTACTATGTGCCAGGGACTGTTCTAGGATATGGTAATACAGCAGAGGCAAAACAGACAAAAATTTTGGCCCTTAAGGGACTTATATTCTTGGGAGAGAAAGAGACGATAAATAAGTGAATAGAGAGATCAGTGTTGGGTTATGGTTAAAGCAGTAATGAAAATCACACCTAGGAAAGGGGACTGGGCATGTCAGGGCTACAGTTTTAGTCAAGAAAGTCAGAGAGGTTCCTCTGGGAAGGTGGCTTTTGAGCAGAGCTGGACTTCCTGTACTCCCAAGGCTACCTCTGCACCAAAGATTCCCAGATCCTCATCTCCAGGCAGCCCCTCTCCTCTGGAGCCATATTCCTGAATGCCTCCTGCACAGCTCCTAGAGGGTGTCCCAGGGCACCAGGAACCACACATGCTCATCTTCTCTACCGAACTTCTTCCTCCTCTTTGGATCCCCATTTTGGTTCACAGCGTGATCATCTCCACACTCACCCAAGCTAGAAACTCCTTCACGCCCTTCTCATCCCTCCTGCCACCGCATGCAGACACATCCAGTCAGATGTTATCTGGGTCCTCACTTCCTCCTCACGCTATAATTCAGGCTCTCGATGTCTCTTGCTTGTGCTATTTCAGGAGACTCCTCTACTCTGGCCCAGCCCTGCTGTCTTTCACATTACCAACAGAATGACCTTTGCAAAGCACAGATCAGGTTTGCTTTCAAGCCTTCTATCTCTACCTGTTGCCTCTAGGATTAGCAAGATGTTTGGTTCCCAGCCTACTGTGTCAGCCATCTCCCTTCATTTCCCTCCCACCACCCACCAGCCCACCACACATACACCCTATGCTCTGGACCCTCTGTCAGAAGAATCATCTCCCCAGCACTTTAACAATACCCTTTTTTTTTCTTTTTGTATGCTTTTCAGTTTTTCCTAAAAAAAATCTTTCCCTTCTCTCCCTTTTCTTGCCCAGCAAGTTTCTAACCAACTGCAGTAGCCAACTCAACTCTGCAAAGCTTTTCCCAAATTCTCTTCCCTTTCTTCTCATCTCCTTTGTTGTGATACTATAGTGCTTGTGGCAGGTAGGATCGCCCTGGCTTAGGAGGGTTCTTGGTGCTTCTTTAGTCTGTGGGTGACATTGAGACAGACAGGTACCATCTCTTGTCTATGGCTGCATTTCTTGTAGATATTAGTACTTGGAATATTATTCTATGCATGTTTACTGAACTGGCTGGAATTCTTTAGAAGATGTGCAAATACATAAGTCGAACCATATGAAACTACTGTTCTTCTTAGTCAATATTAGCAATTTTGTATGGTTCAATCTAATACATCTATTGTGCATCAATATTTGCTATTCTTACTTTGGCTTGCAGAAGTATCTTACCTTCAGTCAGACTGCCTTAACACATGGGGTCAAGGAATTGTTTTCGGCTCTGCAACACATTTCTCATCCTACTCGTTCTATGTATCCAGTTTTTGTGGCCAAAAATGGATGCATACCTGAGAAATGTTATAAATATCTACTCTTCCTTCTTGCTATTAACAATCTTTCTATTATGCTTTTTTTGTGATTCATATGGTTTATCATCAACATCAGTGAGGTTTTGAGGCAGTTTATAAACTTACATAGTAATTTTTAGAATTGTCATACATTATCGGCCTAATGAAAAGAAAATGAGAAAGATACGAATGAGGCAAAAATGATGCATTGTTCATTTATATGGAGTTTTTCAGGGTGAAAGTATATCAAGGTGTCAACTGTAGACTTTATGACTATTTTGTGTCATGGTTTTGATTTCCATGACTGTGATACAGAACCAGAATCACCCTTTGGTTTGGCATGTCTTCCATATTCTACCTTCCCACTCTTACCAATATTTAAAAGTAATATTCTTAAATCATAACCAGAAAAGTATTCTATCCTGTACGTTCTATAAGTGAATGATTTCGCTAGATGTTCCTAAAATGAAAACTAATAATATAGCTAATCACAATTGTCCCTTTTTGTGCTGAATTGAATTGTTTTGGTATTAATTCTTACTTGAACTGCAAGGGAGAACAAACCTGTTGCAGAGCAACAATTGCCATCTCTCTTTCTGAATGCACCTAAGTAGTCTTCGCAAAAATGTTTAAGACAATCCTGTTTGGATACATCATCAGGTTTTCCTGTGGAGCTAGTTCATCGCAAATGAATCTGTTTTTGAAAGTCTGAAATTTTAGACTGCCATGCTTCTTAATCCCCTTGCCATGAGACAATAAAATTGGCTGGGGCCATAATTTAAGGCAATAGCTGATTGTGGGCTTGGTCTTCTGGTATGATGGTTAAAGGGAAAATGAGATGTAAAGTTAAAAGAAAATGTTGAAACAAGCTAAACTGGTTTTCAAGATCTTTTCTGGTTTAACAGGGCCTTAGGTATTGAATGTAGAAGGCTTTGGGGTTATCTAAAGCTAATGTGTTAAAAGATCAAGTTGTTAGAAGATTTCAATTCAGCTTATACATTTTTTAAAGCATTGAACAAGAAATCCTCAAAACTTGGGAGAGATATTTTAGAAGAGGGTGGTTTATGTTGGCTTCTAAGACGGGTGCTCAACGCAACCAATTAGCAGACTCTGTTCTCAGTCACGGAACCCTTTGCCCTGCGGTTTTTAATAGTCATCCCTGTATTTGACTTGAGCTTCTATACATTTTTTTGATAGGGACAGTGAAAGTAAGTGGGTCAAACAAATGCTTAAAACATGCTACAGAAATTAGTGATGCTTAGAAACAAGTGGCTCGCCATGATAAAGGCTTATATGCTTGGATGGGTCGAGAACACCGGTATCTGGTGGGTCTGCAAGGATGCTTGTGAAAGCAATCAGAATTATTAGTAGTACAGTAGCCTTTATGCTGAACATTTTGAATGCTCTTGAAAATACCCTTTGACTTTGTGGGGTTCTAATGAATAAAGTTTCATATAGAAATAACCATGTTTAATAGGAAAAAGCACTCTATTTTGATTTTCATTCCAAGAAGCCATCAAAATATCAGCTAGATATACTTGTAGCGTACTATGATTATTTTTAAATAAGGACAGGTGTCCCTTTAAGAATTAGGCTTGAGCTGAAGTTTCTCTTTCTATCACATATGTTAGCTAGAGATCAGGAAACAAGTTCTAATAGTAAATTGCTAAACTGTTATTGTTACACCCGTGTTTGGGTTTTCTTCCCACTTTACGTATCTCCCTGTCTCATATATATGTTTAGGTCAATCAATCTATTTAGAGATTTGTGAAAGACAAAGATGAAAGCAAGCAAATAAAACAGAGACCGTGGGCAAGTCCTTCAACTATATTCCGCCAGGGTCGGGGGTAAATGAAATAAATCACACTGTGATGCCCCATAAAGGAGTCCCACAGGAAAGAGTTTGCTTATGAAAGACACACATTCCCCCGAGAGAACGTACATCCTGGCTGACCAGCTGAGTCACGTGGTGGGAGGGGGCTCTTTCTTCTCCACATCCCCTTCTCTGATGTCACGAATCTCTTCTTTCCTGGGAGAATTAATTAGCATTCATTGGGTGCAGTTGGCAAGGAGAAAGAAGGGCGCCGGAGCGTGTGTTGGAGAGCAGGGAGGAAGGGGCCCAGTGGGGAGCGAGTCCTTGTCCCCTCGGAGCCGCATTGACACTCGAGGCACAATCGGGCACAGAATGGCTGTTTTATAACTGGGATCCTCCGTGACGTATGGCTGCCTGCTCCTTGGCAGCTGTCTTTATGGACCAGTAGGCAGAGGGAAATTGACGCTGACGAGACTTTTGCATCTTGGAAGGCACTGTAATCTACTGTAGTGAAGAACAGAACCTCTCAATCACGCAAGTGTCAATAAGAGACGGAGGGGAGTCCGAAGAAAAGGAAGAGGAGGGGAAAAAGTGTGTGCTGGGGGAGCGGGGAAAAGCATTTTTGGTGGATGGTATGAAGCCAGCCATGGAAACTGCAGCCGAGGAAAATACTGAACAAAGCCAAGAGAGAAAAGGTACCCAGCGCTCTGACAATAGCCTGTTTAAAGCTTTTCACTGGGGGTGCTTAAAAAGGGGTAGCCCGGTTTTGTGTCGCTTGTAAAATAGCTCAGAAGTAATCTCTATGGCACAGTCTTGCTTTCGGGGTGGCTTTTTTCTGTGGGCTGATGTTAAATTAATAGAGCAGCCTCTCTGCAATCCATTCCTGTTCCAAATCTTCCTACCGAACGTGGTATTTCACGGAAGGGTGTCTGCAGTTTGTCATCTTAGTACCTGGATTGGGGAAACTGTCTTTTTTTTTTTTAATAGAATGTCATGACTTAAGTTCTGTATGTTATATTCCAGGGACATGGGATGCTTTGTTTTCTGCTCATGCCGAGGAGAGGCACACATAGTGATGATTATGCTTTGCTTCTGCTAATGCCGTGGCGATTTGGACATTCTCTCATCTTCTTATTAAATACACTTGCAATTTCTGTGTATCTGGCCCTGACTATGACATGTAATAAGTATTTAAGTTGGAGCTTGAGAGAAGGGACATCAGCTCTGTCACCTAGTGCTGATAGAAGCAGGGACGGGGCGGGGGGGGGGGTCTTCTATTTATGATTGGAGATTTAGGGGAGGAAAATTGATAAAAGTCCTGTTCCTTAAACGGAATCTCAAAACATATCACGATGTTGACATACAGAATGTTTCGTTTTGTTTGTTTTTGAGAAAGAAGCGTTTTGTGGTAAGAAAATAGCAGAAAATAGAAACTAAAATTTATGCCGTTAGGTTAATGGCATTTCACTGCACGGTAAATTATCTCCCTCACCTAAAAGTTGTAGACTGTCAGAAAGGCAAGGGACATCTTCTGTAACTGCAGTGCCTCTAATATCAAAAGCCGTCATGCTGAGGTTATTTCTCACAGCCCTGGTGTCCACTGACAGTCACTAAACAATAGTAGTTCTCCAGGGTGGAAGTACAACTACATTTTAATTATGAATATGTTGGTTAAACTGAAAAACTACTGATAGTCAATCATTTTACACGATAAAAAAATGGCAATTTCATGTTTTCAATTTAACAGCACACTGGGATAGAAGCTGCTTGTTTTTACATGGAATTTCTTCTGTGCACAATACTTTAATAATATCGTATCCTAAAGAGAGCAACTTCATTTTTTAAATTAATTATTTTTTAAAGTATGAATATCTACGTAACAAAAACTTTGCCATTTTAACCATTTTTAAGTGTATAATCTAGTGGCATTAAGTACATAGCACTTTAATTTTAAAACTGATAGTTTAGTTCAATCTTGTAACAAACCTACTGCCCCCCACCAAAAAAAAAAAAAACAAACAATGGCCAAAAAAAAAAAATGGTGCCTTTTCTTGTATGTCTGTTTTAAATTTACACGAATGAGCAAATAACAATAAGAGAATGTTTGTGAAGCTGAGGAACAGAGATGAAAGTTTAAAGCTTCATGATGATCAGAGATGAAGTTTGTGGGTGTAATTGTTTAATGGCATTGTAAGGAAGGCTATCCAAGTTGACAGCAGTTTTGGTTTTTTTTTTTTTCCTTAAAATAGATGACTTTGTTTAACACACTCTTTTTATTAATGCGGTGTTTGCCAATGTCAGATGACACCATTTTGGTCTCTGTAAAAACATACCTTTCTTTTTTGTCTCCAAAAGCAAGCAAAAGGCATAAAGCCAATGTAAAATCCTTACTACACACTTGTATATCTCGTCATCATTTAATCTTATGGACCGCTATTATTTTATGTTAATTAATATTATTTAATACCAAATCCACAGGCCGCCACTACATCGCTTGAACATCTGTGTATGAAAGCTCATTAGCTATGTATGGTTTTAGAGACAGAGTTAGAAGCAAAAGATAATCCCTGGAAGAACTTTAAAAATTACCAAAATTCATAAAAACTAACTATTTCGTAAGGAATTCAAAAATGCCAAGTTACGAGCTTGAGTGAGAATATGGGCCTGCGAGTGCCTTTTTGCTGCATTGACTGGGGTTGTGATTGCTCTGTGACCTACCCAAAGGGTGGTATCTCAGCTACTCTTCCGTAGACAGAGCAAGTTCATAACTGCACAAGTGAAAACTCACACAAGTGTCACCTTTGTAATGTTCTCAGTTTGCTCACCCGTTGTCATTCAAGTCACACGCATAGGCATAAAATGATAATCGCATGTTTCTGCATGCTTGTCACTCCAAGATTCCTATAGATTTCAGTTTCAATACAAAATAAATGTTTACTTCATGGAAATGATCATTTAAAAATTTGACACAGAGAATGCATTATCTAGTTCTTGGGCTGGTGGGTCTGTTCTTTAATTTTTATTTTTTTAAAGACTTTTAGCAAGGGATTTAATTTACCAAATTTAATCCTATCTATTTTGTCGCTTCCCATAGTTTTTTATGCACATATATTTTTCCCCCTGTTCCTTCTTTTGCTCTCAATAGTTAGCACTAGGGACGATATCTGCCTCTTAATCTGGGCTATTACTGCCCAATGGCTGGTGCCCAGTAGCTTCTGAATTAGTAGCTTTGGATAATTACCACAATGTCATTAAGAAATAAATTAAATTTAACTTTATAAACCGACCTTCAACTTTTCTTGGTGTCACTCTTCCTGAGAGTTTGGGCAAGACAAAGAGAGATGTTTCTTTAAATGAAATCTGAATGACTTTGTTCCTATTTTAAATAAAAATAAGCCCTTAAGGAAAAAGAAAGCAAATGTGTTTTTGAAACAGTCTCATAGCTTTTGTCACAGAAAACTACTGGATGATCAAAATTCACAAGAAGTATTTAGTAGTTATTCAGGAATTTTTAAGGAAAGCAATCAGGTTTTCTCGGATGGATATAAGAAATGCCAAATTATTACAAATGACCGTTTTTAAATTGGAAGCATTAAATTAAATCAAAGTGTGAGGATCGAGTAAGCAGATTCATTGAAGTGGAGTAAGTGAAGGAAATGAGTAAGACAGAATCAAAGGAAATAGATCATGAGACTCAATAATAAAGAATGGAGAGTTAGGTTTCTATTTATTTCTGTGGAGTATTACTTGATGTCAATTCATTTGTGAAAACCAGTGCATCTGGAATTGCTGGGAGTGCTGAATCACGGGGTAGAAAAACAATCGAATCAACTGCTCTGTTGCATGAAAAAAAAAAAACAACTAAATATCTGTGATGAAAATTATTTTTATTATATGTCAGAAATTCAAATCTACTGAAGCAAATAGTCAGGCTAGTTCAGTTCCTATGAATCATTGCTGAAATAAATTCTAAAATTCCAGGCATCAAATTAAGTCCCTAACCACATAAGAAGAAAAATGTAGTAAATCGCAAATATAGTTTAAAATAAATTACAAGACATAGTCAAAATAAGAAATGAATTGAAATTGTTGACTTGATAAAAAAAATTAACACATCCATTGAAATCTTTTTAATTAATTAGACATAATTTCTTATATGGTTAGGGATTTTTTGTTTGTTTATTTGTTTGTTTTAGCAAACCCTCTCTTCTTTTTCATTTAGGAAGAAAAGCACTCCTCTAGGATCTATGACCTGTATGTTAAAAACCCAGAGCAACACTTTTAACATGTTACACTGTTCCTGGTGATCTATGAATTATTTGATTTTGAGATTTTTATTGACGTTCTCTAACTTGATTATATGAATATGGTACAAAAAATGTTTTAGATGCAGTTTTTCCTATAAGAATCTGCAAAGGAGGACGTTTGAAGAGAGGGTGTCTGGGGATTAGGCTGTAGAGAAAAGAATGGCTGGCCAGATGGTGCTGGACATATGTGGTAGGTATGATATAGCTTGCTTTTATTTATTTTTTTGGAAAACTTAAGTGTGGAGAGGATCTGAACGAGCCATTTGGTACATCTCCTACTTTTATATTATTGTTTCCATTAGCATACTTTTCAAGACTTGGTCTTGCTATTTCATTAGACAAAGAATTCTGACCCAGTTCTTGAAATTTAGACCTGCCTTCCTTGAAATTGAGTTGAAATCTTTAATTCAGATTACAATGTTAAAAATTGTATTTCTCTGTTATTTGGAAGTAGAGGTCAATATAGAGTAAATAATCTTAACCACATGATTTATTAGCTTCGATGTATCTGAGAGCATGCAAAATAGCCAGTTGTCCCCATGACGTAAATTTCCCCTCACTGGGACTGGTGATGAATTGAATTATTCCAAAGACACTCTCTCTTTTTTCTGGGGGACCAGATGTACATCCATGTCGAGATGGTTGGCCAGGAATAGGGATGGCTGTGGGACAGAGGAAGAAGGTGACGCACACTGGCTGTGAAGAGCAGAAGGCTACAGTTCCAGCTCACAAATGTACCTGGCTGTTCATTCATTTATTTATTCATTTAATAACATTCTCCTTTGAGCTGTTATCCTTCTGTCCTCTCAGCTCACGTCATAGGAGTAAAAGGGTGCTAAATCATTTTAGGGACCATTATTTGTAGTATGATCTTGATTTTAACCATGATTTTGCTGACTGGTGGCAGATTAAACAGCAGATGACAATGCCAGAGAGAATTTTGACCCTTAGCCAGCCCAATGATATTTCTCTTCAGAGAACATGTAATAAGAGAAAACAGTTTCCTATTTTATAGGTTGATTTCATTAATTGCATTAACTTCTTTATATATTCCAGCTTTACTTGCTATATTTGAATCAAAGATCAACACACTTCATCTGTAAAGGGCCAGAATGTAAATCTTTTAGGCTTTGTGAGCCTCCCGGTCTCTGTTTAACGACTCAAATCTACCACTGTAGCATGAAATAGCCATAGATAGTATATAAACAAATGAGCATGGCTGTGTTCCAATAAAACTTTATTTACAAAAACAGGTGGCCATTGTTGCTGACCTCTGCTATATTCTATAATGTTGTTATAGCTTTCCTTTCATATTTTAAATAGTAGCTAAAAATGAAGAACGATAGAGCTTTCAAAGACCTTGCCCAGTGAATGTGGTCTTTCCAGGACATCGGTCTTCATCACTCATTTGCTTCCAGTGATAATTTCCTAGATGCTAGAAAGTAGAGCAGTCTGCGGTTCAGTTATTCAGCCTTGTCACTAAATCACATTATCTAAGTAAATGGGGAAAAAAGTGTACACGACATTCGTTTGTTTTCCTTTCCTCAATTTCCCATCGTTTGTTTCATACCCACCTTTAGGGATGACTAACCACAGTTGTGTCTATGGACATCAGCCATCACCACTCACCTCAGCCCCAACCATAAATATTATCTCAGATATCATAGTCTTTTGCGCTTCTTCAAGAATATAGATTGGCCTCCTGCCCTTCGCTCTCTTCTACCCTCTGAGAGGAACATTTGTCTTCCTTCTATAAGGCAGGATCTTCCTAGGTATGCACATTTTCCCATTTCTTGCCAGTTGCCCAGAACCGACATATTAATATAGCATTCAAGCTGAGGCAAGCACATGACTCCCTTCTAAGTGTTGGGACCCTGTATACTGCGTTCTTTGAAATTTTATAAATAATTTATAGTTAATGTCTTCATTTAAGTTTGGCTCAAAAACATAAAATAGACGTGATTTTCTTTTCTTTCCTATCTAAAGATTTACTGGTGTAAAAAGGCATTCTCAGATGCACTGGAAAACCTCTACCCACTTGCCGATCGCATCCCCACATCTGCTGGGTATTTTTATGCAAATTAAGCATCTCAGGCATGGCTGCCATGTTGTTCTCAGAAAATACAGTCCATGTTTTTCATTGCCATTGCCTAGCAGCCTGTGCCTGATTTCCCAAATGTCTGGAGACTTCCCCATCCCCATGAGACGAGGACAGAGAGTAAATGTATCCTACGCTGAGATTCCCCAAATTGCACAGCCTGGCCTGAGTGAGGTCAGTGTGCTGGGTCAACTAGGGGTTCATTTTTTGGTCCACAGGGTCCCAAGGTACTTCTTTACATTCAACCAAATATTTATTTAGCAGACATTTATTGGGCACCTCTTATGTGTTGGGCATGGAGAAATTTTTTTAATTTTTCAGATCAAAAGTGATCTGAGGATGAAATTTTTCAGAACAGAAGTGATCGAGCTACATGGACTCCTGTTGCCCGAAGTTGATATGGAAGGCTCACAGCCACTTTACCAAGAGGAAATCAGAGCATACATACCATGAGGCAACCTGACCTTCTTCTGGCTCTTTCCACCAGCCCCATTGGTTTTTTTTTTTTGCTTTCAGAAAATGTAGCACAACCCATGACTGAGAGAGAATCTCCTGAACAGCAAAGCAAAAATCTAAATTCAGGGAAGGCTAAGAGTTAAGTTTTAAGAGCCTCGAAATAATGTCAATAGCTTGGGACCAGAAACGTTTCTCTAGGAGGCACAGAAGCACAACCCACCTGCAAATGGACTTCAGAAAAATTCTTGTTGAGCTAACCACTGCTTCAGCAAAAATGGCAGCAAATGCACCAGCCTCAGTAGGATAACATGGTGGTTTCAAAAATGTGCCACGTGGAGTCAAAATGCCCGTGTTTATACGCAGGATCCTCTACCCTGGCTGCACGATCGTGGGCAAGTGACCTACCTTCTCATTGCCCTCAGTTTCTTCATTTGTAAAGATGGAATAATAACGGTACCTATTTCATAGGGTGGTTGTGACAAACAAGGTAATGGATGCGAGGTGTGCTTTGCATGATGATAGCATATCTTAAGCACTCTAACTTATCGCTATCGTCATCGACAGCAAAAACAGCGGCAGCGAAAATAGGTTCAATGTGCCCTTCTGACTGTCCTAGCTTTTTTTTTCTTTTCAGATGTCTTTAAAAGTCTTTAAATGTCTTCAAAAGACATTTGACTTTAACTTGAAGCCAACAAAATTTTCTCTAAAGCACCACCTAGAAAAGTATGTTTCCACTTCCTAATTGGAAATACCTTGAGAGTTTTCAGAGACCATGGAGAGTGGTGGCGGGGATTTTGAAAAAGGCTTAGTGAGGTTTTAAGCGGACCTGGTCAGGGCATTTGCTCTGTTGCCTCGCAATGCGGCAGTTTTCTCAGCCTTTATCCTCAGTGACGTGAGTGCCAAATGGAGCGTTGTAACCTGATCATCTGATGGGATAATTACCTATGTCAATGCTAGAATCACTTTTTTTATCCTGAAATATTTGCGGCACCCCAGAGGATATCACTCCTTCTGAGATTTTATGCGATTCTCAGATATAAGCTGGCATAGTCATCTTATGGTCTCTTAGGGATTTCAAGATTGTAATTCAACTAATGGTTACCAGCAGCCTCTCTGTGTCAGGCGAATTAGTAGATGTTTTCTTCTCTCCGATCCCCTAAGTAGGAAATGTAGTCATATTACCAGCTATATGAGTCCCCAGGAGGCCACTTGTCACCTTATATGTGAGTAAGCAGTGGTTGGAACCCAAGGCAAGCAGCCCTTGGTCTATAAAACACTAGATGATCATTGGATCAGGATTTCATCCAGAACATTCTAGACTGAAATACCAAGTTTAAAATAAGGTGACAAAGAATACTGCAGATGTCAGTGGGAAGACAGGAGTTTCATCCAAGAGTCAGCAGACCATGGGGTTCTTTGCCAGATTTTCAAGGCTGGAACTGGGTACTGTTATGGAGAGTGAGCCTGTAGTCACCTTTGCTTGTGCAGCTGCAATAATTATGGCACTCTGTGGGTCCGAAAGAGAAATAAGCAGAACAATATTATCGCAAGAAGCCAGATTTTTGCTATGAATAGTGTCTGCCCAAAATGAGCATTCTAAGGGGTAACGGGTGGGGGAGGTGGATAAAATAAGGAAAGAAAAGACAATTTTGGTCATTTTTGTAAACTTATATTCAAAAATGGAAGAGACTCCGACAGTTTCAATTTATCATGCTGAGTTGATAAGATGGTACTGAATGATTGCATTTCAATCACATATTTTAAAACTCCCCCTTGCCTTTAACTATATGGTAAGAGTAACTAAAAATGCTGATATAAATTCTTTGCTGGAGAAAGAGACACTGACTCTTTGCCACCTGAAATTGGCAGTGAACAGCAGAGCTGAAATGGAAATTGGCAGGTACCACTGGATGTACCCAGGCTCAAAGAACCACCAGTACCATCCCGTGCCAACCCTGGGGGACAGGGCTAGCCCCTTGAGCAGTCCAGGTAAATACAGCCTTGGGGTGAATTCTAATAGCAAGTCAACTGTTATCGTTAATATTATTTGTAATGATTCTTTCAGATTGGTGATATTTTATGTTTTGCTTGATGCATTAATTTGTTCACAGGGGCGTGGGTGGAATTGGCCCTTTAAAAATTTTTGAATCATCTTTTTTTCTCTCCTCCTCTCCATTCCACCCCATCTTTCGCCTCTCTGTTTTCCCTCCTCCCCTTTTTCTCACCCTTACCTTTTCCGAAACGGAGCAGTGTACAAAGAGATACGCCTTTGGGTTAACCACAGAATTCCCAGTGTCTGAACCAGTAATGGGAGGAGAGGGCTGTCACCCAAGTCCACGTTGATACTGAGAACTAGGCCAGGACACTTGAGGAGCATTGGCTCCGAGACCACTGTGGGTGTCCCCAGATGTCAATTCGGCCCCACTGCTTTGCATCACTCTGATTTAACATCAGTCATTACCTTTGAGGCGGGAAAATCAAAGCCCATGAAATGAGCATTGGATAACTATATAGGTATACACGATCCCATCAGGTAGGTCCATTGGGTCCAGTTTCTGGTTTCCTTGCTCATGAGAAACACTGGTCTCTCAGGACTGCTAGATACTGGGCCTGGGTGAAATGTATGTCGGTCGATTTGGGGACCCAAGAGGGGAAGAATGCTGAGCAATATGGACATCCACCCGCCACACGTTCCCAAAGTCTACCCATGTCTTAATACTCAGCTCAGTTAGCTAAAATTCAGTGATCTGAAGTTACTTAAAATATGAATATAAAAGGGATGGTAGTGGGTCAAATAAACACAGTGGGTTTAAAGTACTGCTGTCATTTCACATGAACCCATAGCATCATTTTCCCCACATAGTTGCTTACTTTTTCAGGAACGCCTAAGAAATGACAATGTGGAAACTACAACTCTAGCTAGAGCAATCCTGAGGTACAGTGTCAGACACCTACTGAATTACAAAGTCACAACACCTGTAATTTAATAAAAAACTTTTTTCTTTTAAAACCTAAATTGTGGCTTCAGGTTAATGAATACGGAATGTGACTTTAGATTTAGTTCTACATCATGAGCTATGTATTCCTTCATTCTACGTAGGGCTGTTAGGCACCAACTCCGTGAATGCCTGAGCAGTGCCGGTTAGAAAAGATGAGCAAAAAGGGACATGAGACATCAGTTCTCATAGATCCTTTAAAGAATGGAGGGTTCTGGAATCTAGATTTTTTTTAAAAGTTGCCACTAGACGTGACATAGCCATATAATGGGATACTGTTCAGCAGTAAAAATGAAGTATTGGCACGTACTACCACATGGAAGAATCTCAGAGACATTATGCTGAGTGAAAGAAGCCAGACACCAAAAAACAAATATTGTATGATTTCATTTATATTAAATCTGGAATTGAAAAATCTATGGAGACAAGAAGTAGATTAGTGTTTGCCAGAGCCTGGGGGAGAGGGGAATGGGGAGTGACTGCTGATGGGTACAAGGGATCTTTTTTGGAGTGACGGAAATGTTTTTTTTAATTAATTTGTGGTGATGGTTACGGAAGTCTATAAATTTACTCGAAGCAGGTGAATTTTATATGTAAACTTTATCTCATTAAAGCTATTTCTAAAAAAGCTTCCCCACCCTAAAAAAGCACCATCAGATGTGTACAGTTCAATGTTACAGAATGGGAACGAGAAAAGGGTATGTGTTAACGCGACAAGAAGGTCCCTAAGCTATCGGAAATTATTGCTTGCGAGAGAACGGTATTCATTTTAAGAATGCGTTAAAAGACAACAGTCTAGTTGGAAATCGAGAAAAAAAATTAAGTGTTTTTAATAATAATATCTTATTAGGGGAAAGCCCACTAACAATTGTTCTTGATGAGTTTGGTCCACTGGTTGAGCAGTTCCCTGTAAGAGCACTGGAAAAATACTTTTTCAACCCTACAACCAAACACTGGAATATGGGGATTCTAACTAGTAGTGGCAGCTGAGAAGAAAAATACAAGGCTCCCATTTCTTTTCGGAGACCTTTGGGGCCAGATTTGTTTCAGAATTCAGAAGAGTTTGGGCTTTTGAAAAGTAACATGACGTATATACCATGTGCTACATGCCATCACCAGCAAGGTCTGGGTGCTCCCACAAATCCAACACATTATCTTTATGACGAGCCTAGGTTGGGTAAATGGAGCCTGTAAAAAGCCTCTTGTCCATTCGAGTCAGATTTTGGCACCAAGTAAGTTCAGATCAGAGTAGCTTTTGTTGCCAGATGAGTTAGATCTATAAATCAACCAACCAACCAACCAACCAACCAACCAACCAACCAACCTTTGTTTTTAGAGTTTTGGGAATTCTGGAATGGTACGATGAGAAATTGTAGAACTCTAATGGTATCAGGTTTCTGGTGATAACTCATGTGAGAATTCCATAAACAAGCAGATTCCTGTTTGAGGGGGAGAAACAAAATCACGGAACTTGATTTATAAAATCATCTCCACCCACACGTATTTTTAACTTTTTCTGTGCAGTGACTGAAGTCATTGGAAAAAATAAGTCTCTGTGGCACACGCGTTGGGACCATTTGAGTGTGGAGCCAGCTGTAGAGCCCTTGCATGTCGGATAGTATAAAGAATACTGTACAGGCCCCAGAGTGAGGGGACCGAACCCAGCCATGTTGTCACCTTCCCAGTTGCTTGGAGATTTTGTTGGCTTCTAAATCACTGCAGTTGGCATTCTGTACTTAGATCCCAAACCAGATGGTATGAGGGAAAAAAATAGAGAATTCCATATGGCTCTGTGTCTTTTTATTTTTTTCTTTTTTGCAGAGTTCTCAGTTTCTTTCTAGTGGAAGAGGGGGGAAGAGGTTTTGATACAGGCTGACCAGATCTTTGCCAAAGGAAAATGCCTCCCCCGCGCGTTTGGTGATTATGGTCCAGACCACTCTCCCCAGCCCCGCAGCTTCCTTATTTCCCAGGAAAAGTCCAGTGGTTCCAGTTTCCTTTGCCTTGATCTTTTCACGTTTTACTTTTTTGGTGTAACTTCCCAGTACAATTACATTTTTAGAATTTGGATAGTTAATCTATCACCATCTGTTGCTTTTTTTATTATTATTATTTTCATTTTTTAACTTCTTGAGCCAGGTAATACCTACATCTTCTCTAGACCTACAGGAAATGAAAGTATGGAAAAGATGGATGGCCACATGGGCAACCCCGTGTGATACCTCCTGGGGCTCCTAGGCCTGAGATGGCAGCAGTAGTGGAAGAAGGAATCGTTAAATAGTACACGTGCGT